ACTGAACAGACATCCACACTATATTCACAGCGATTAATAAATTCCCAAATATACGCCATAAAGCTACCATCAAAGCTAAAACCTGCAAAAAACTACAAATTTGCCATATTTTTCTTTTTTCACGAGTACACATTCTAGGTTATATTTATATTAGATATTATTTGACTACAGCTGATTATTGCATTTCAAGCAGTGACACATGTGTGGGATCTGTCAACTCTTGGTACCAATAACAAAAAATATTATACTCTGAAGGTTTAATTCCATGCTATTCAATGACAACACGGTGACTTGTGTGGTTATCAGCGGTCATTTTGTGAGGGTGCGACAGGGTTGCCAGATTGGGCATTAATATCCCGTTTTACCCTCCTGGTCCCAGTGGAGTAAGTTCCGCCAACTGTTAAAATATACTCTCTATGCTTTATAAAACTATTTGTGACATTTTTCCCAAAATCATTGCACAACACTTGAAAAAATGCAAATGAAAATTTAATGACGCCGCAATATAGCTCCGTCGGTACCTTGGGTTTTACATCTTGACAGTAGGGATGTTCGATACGATCCTATATTTAGAAGTATCAATACATTTCACGAGTATCGTCATCTTTCGATCCAAACTGTGTCAGAAAGAGTGACTGCCATTTGGCTGCGACATTACCCTGCCAAATCAGACATATCTTTCATCATTTTCAAAGAAATTGTACAAAATCTTCAAATTTGTGAAGTTAGCGAGTTTACTTCATACGTTCTTACCAGACATGCCCAAATCATCAGTTGCTGCCGTGATATTCATCCCGACCACTGCATCCCCACGGCTAGACGACCTGTATGTTAAATTTGTATTGATAGGGCAGCGGGTTATGCTATAAGTCATATGTCACAGTATTTGTGAACTGATTGCAACGCTTAGGTGATACCAAAAATATTTTCATAAATAGATCTTTCCCATTCCGGATCGAACAATCTACCAAAGATGCTTATAATCATGATACCTAGTAAATTTTCACGAAAAAATTCAAAACCAGCAAATGTAAAAGATTCATTTCGCACCCTCCACCACGGGACGTGATCGTCGTTATACTTGGCAACCCTGCGAGTGTCAGATAGATATCCGGGCAGTCAAAAAAGAAAAATAGATAAACAATGAACATTACTCGTTTTTTTGATTTTCGGACTTAAAAGCCATCATCTGTGAAACATTTTTTATCTATGTCCATGGTAATAGCATTATGCATCAGGGAGATGTAGGGATTGACACGTCTTATACATATTATCTGTGTTTTAGTATGGAGAGGACATAATGTTTTTATTGCATTGAAGAAATTCATTGTCCCATAAATTAATAAATGATTACTATTATGACGTAAAGGAAGGTGAGGAATTGGATGGAATGTATTTTATATTCTATTTTCTTGCAAAATACAGACAAATCCAAACTATTCAACAGGTATGTAATGATAACTTTCAGTCTATTGAAGTTGGTAAATTCAAGAGTGCCATGCATTAACAAACGTCCAAATCTGCTACCAAATTTAACAGCTCGAAAATCGACCTATTATTTGCCGCATTCCCATTCGCTGAGGGGGATAACGGATTGTTAAATGTAAACCTATAACATATATCAAAATACATGAAAGTTGTCCTGTTTTTTCTGTACAAAAGCATCATGTTGGAATCAAAAAGTGGTCTTGTTTATAATACAGTCGAATTTTCAAGATTTTATTCAATATTTCAATAGTAAGCACTAATATTCAGAGACCAGATTTCGTCAAATTGCATTTCGATAAGGTATTTTCCCATTGGTCCATAATATTAATGTTGGTGAAATTGGCCTTTAAACTTAGTTCACAGTGCGAGCCGTCTCGTATGCTTGCGAACTTGTACGACTGTGTGGTCTACTGATTCGCGCAACAGAATGTTACTGCGAGATTTGGCTTAACCGTAACGTAACTGCGCCTGTTGTTTGACGTAGTCCATTAGGTAAGGCATGTAGAGGTCTCTGAAAAGGGGCGTAAGGTCGAGTTAAAGATTATGTTGACTTAACCCTTTCAATACGACTTTATTTTGAAAAATAAGAACGTAATCTTACGGTTGGGACGAATGGGTCCCAGCAAAAATTGGCCTTCAAAATACATTTCTTTTTTTTTCTAGCGTACGTGCAAAATACCTTATCTACATAAAAAATATCAATGGATTAAATAATATAAAACTATTTTCTTCTTTATTAAGTAATAAACAAAAAAAAATACAGAATGGGACACATTTGTCTCAATAGTACGGAAAAAACGGACATAAATGTCCCACTAGTAACAAAAATACTTATAGTTAAAAATGTAACTTGAACGAGAATAGCAAACTTCTAACATTTAAGTGTGACAGTATTGGATACAGTTATTGCACAAGGGAAGCTTACATCCTAAACACATAGCTTTTGTTCTTTTTTTCACTTTTCGAGAAGCACCTGAATGACATCTACGACGAGATTTTCCTAGAAGCGGCAAATGACCTCCTACGTTTACGACATCTATTGATGAACTTGGAGGTCTGCCACTTCAGCGTTTTCTAACAACACCTGCCTTTTGTCGACCTGTGTTTATCAAACCTTCTGCTAGGTTTACTAAAATGTAATAAACGGAACATCACGCTTATGAGCTTCTCTGAATAGTATCCATGCATTTGAGACTGATGTTAACAGTAGCTTGTAACATGTTTTTCTCCACCATTTTTGAGAATTCCGATCAATATCGAACAAGCTAGACGTTTGATCTGAAAGATAAACACCATCCATAAATCTATTATATGTTTTTATAGCTTCCGGACAGGCCAGGTTAATTTTGGTTCCGTCTTTTTGGCGTCTTTCTACAGATCCCATTTCGTCTTTGTGACAGTTTGAAAGAATCGAAACCTCTTTAGAACCTTTCCATAGATGTGCGATAAGACCCTGATCACTAAATAATGTTTGTCAATCTCCTTTTCCCTTTTTTCTTTTCAAACCGTGGCAGGTTTTTTTGTTTGACATACATGTCCCAACAGCAGCAAAATCTAAATTAGCAATTAAATTCACAGTCGTAAGAAAACGATCAAAACACAACATCACGTTTGGATCATCTATAGGGCTGACCACTCTTTCCCTAATGTTCCTTCTTTGTCTCTCATCGTCTTTCCCAGCATATACGTTCATATCATATACGAGCCTCTTCCCACTTCAGTTGGCCCAACTATTGAAATCTTATCAAACACAAATAATAAAAATGTAGCAGGGTCTTGTAGGTTTAAAATATTAAAAATGAATATTTTGATAACCTATAGTAGAAAACACCAACTTTATCACTCCCTAATCAAATTTGCAACATAAAAATAACACATGTTGCAATTACAGCATTTCAACCTATTTTCATTTCAATGCAAAATAAGTCTGTAACGCATAGGTGGCTGTGAAAATAAAAGCCATGACAATTGTTTTTATTAATCACAGCTGTCAGAATACGCTTAAAATAGTTTTGGGTAGCTAAGATTTTCAAAATGGGTAGAGGACAGGTTATTAGTGAGAAAATTCGGTTACTGATAATTAAATTTTTTAATTCTGGGAAATCAAACGCAGAAATAGCAACTTTGTTAGACTTATCGCGGTGCAGTGTGAGAAATATTGTTAGAAGATATAACGTAACTGGTTCAGTCAACATTTAGCCACGATATGTGAAAAAAAGTAATATCACAAATGCCGACCGAAGAGCATTAAGAAGAATAATCGTGCAAATTATTTACAATTAAGTGCTCTGTGGAGTTACGCTGTTGGAAGGAGAATTTCGAGGTCCACAACATATAGAGAGGCCCACAAACTGGGATTTGCAAGTGCTGCAAGTTAAGTTTTCCTATAAAAAAAAGTGAAGTAAAAACCCTAAAGTTGCACAACTTGTTTATAGGCCAAGGAAAAGCCTCTATTAGCTCCACTGCAAAAGAAAAATCGACTTAGATGGACTAAAGAACATAGACAATGGACACCTCAACAATGATGTGCAATACAATGGAGTGATGAGGCCCGATTCGAAGTTTGTGTTGGTGACAATCGCAGTAGAGTTATTCGCAAAAAAAATGAAGCATTCCATGTTGACTGTCTGAAGAGAAAAGCGAAATTTCCAGCATCCATCATGGTCTGGGTCAGTATGTCATCAAAAGGGGTAGGAAAACTTCATTTTATTGATGAAAATGTGTATACAAACAAATATTTGGCAATTTTAGAAGAATCGCTCTTACTAGTGATGGAAGAATGTTTGACATCCGGCCAAGATTTTGTGTTTCACCAAGATGGTGCAGCGTGCCATACCTCAAAAAGGCCATAAAATGGATGGAAGAAAATAATGTACCACTTTTGAAATGGGTTTCTAGCAGTCCAGATCTGTCACCTACTGAAACTTTGTGGCACGAGATGAAAAAGGTTCTACGACAACATCCTGCTCGTACAATCACCGAACTGAGACAAAAGCTTCAAGAAATATGGGATTGTTTTACATTTAAATTTTTAGGTTTTTCTTTATTTCAGTATGGTGGGAAAATACAAAAGGAAGAGCAATAGGCAATCCTGGAGTGAAGATTGTATGTGATTAGCTATCGAGGCAGTACAGAGCGATAATGAGGGGTGGCTGTCAGCTTCCAAACAGTTTAACGTTCCACAAGCCAGGTTAAGAAGGCGAGCTCAGAATAAAAACAAAAAAGTAAGAGATGTTGAAAAAGGCCTTGGACGTTTTTCTGCAAGTTTTTCAAGATAAATGGAAAACGAACTTGTTGAACATATCACGTTGCGGAAAGTATGTTGTTTGGACTTACAGTAACCTCATCGGTTTTGGAAAGACGAAAAAATGGCAGGATTTAAGAGGCTTAGGGGATTTCGTATGCGTCATCCAGAAGTTAGTTTAAGGAAGCCGGAACCTACATCTGCAGCGGGGCCACAATGCTTCGACAAACCTCAAGTCTCCAGATTGTTTCTACGTCTAGAGTAACTCATGGAAGAATATCATTCTGGACCCAACAACATATACAATGTTGACGAATCTGCCCTCTCAACAGTCCAGAAACCTTCCAAGATATTTGCTACTAAAGGCAAAAAACAGGTGGGATGCATAACCAGCGCCGAACGTGGTACTCATGCAACAGTAGTATGTTGTATGAATGCACCTATATTTTTCGTCCCCCCGCATTAATTTTTGCCAGAAAGAAACGTAAGACAGAACTCGTGGATTGATGCACCTGTAGGAACATTACTTCAGTGTCAAGAGTCTGGGTGGATGACCGGCGAACTATTCTTACTTTGGCTGAAGCACTTTGCAAAATACTCTCGTGCTTCATTTGATTTTAGATGGCCACAGCAGCCACAAACATTATCCAGCCCCAAAATATGCTAAAGGTAATGACATGGCTTTAATGTGTTTGCCTCCCCACTGCACCCATAGAATTCAACCATTAGATGTTACATTTTTGGCCCGTTAGATACTTATTTCAACCAGGAAGTTGACAGATGGTTAAAAGCAAATCCTGGTCGTGTAGTAGGCCCCTGATAATAAAGTAACTCGCAATAAACATCTTTTGGTTATTCCTAAACATTCAACAGCTCTGTTTAAGCGCAGCTTTTCATATAATGCGGCGAAACTCTATAACAGCTTGGCAGTAGATCTCAAGAATCTGAGCCTCCGCAATTTTAAAGAAAAATTGAAAGCTGATCTCCTGCATGACCAAGGGCCTAAAGTATAAGCAAACCTCGATACGTTTTGAAGGATAATGTCCCAGTATGTTTCTTTTTAAGTCGCCTTGTTCTTTTTTGCTTGAATTGTGATCTCATAAAAACTTCATTGGTCATAAAAACTGCATTGGCCATGCTCTCGTATGTTCTGTTTTGTATTGCATATTATCTTTTTTTATATACATATATTTTGTATGAGTGTTATTTTTTTGTGGGTTTAGTTGAAAAGCAGCTTAGGCTGAACTACGCCTTTCATCATTTTATCATTATTTTTTTTTATCCTCAAGTTATTTATAATGATAAATAAAGACCATTTATTGTTATTATTATTATTATTATTATTATTTCAGATAGGAAAGATTTTTTCTGTAGCTTATGGAAATGCTGCAGCAACTGCAATAGCGTGTTCTGGCTTTGCTAAAACTGGAATATTCCCATTCAACTCGGATATTTTCCCAGACTATCTGTTTATGCTCAGCTCGGTTACTGACCATCCTCACGTAGCGGCAGATACCGATCAGTGTGCAGGTCCGACTATCCAAAAAAAAACCAATCATTACAACCACAAAGTCCATGCATGAATCAAAAGACAGTAATCAAGTTGCATGTTGATCTAACCAAAAAAGCCCAAACAAATGCGATGAGGATCAGAGAATAGCATTTCACTGACAGAGCTTTTTCCACCACCAAAACAAAAAGCATCCACAGAAACGAAAAGAAAGAGAAGAACGCAGGAGTCTGGCGAGTTAACGAGCACTCCACAAATGGAAGAAATTAAAGCCAGGTACGAAAATAAAATTGAATCAGAAAGAAGAAAGTCAGAAAGAAAAAGGGTTACGAGAAAAATTGTTCAAGGTGAAGAAGAAGGCGATGTTTTACCAGAAATATAAGACGATGTTTCATGTATATATTGCAATGAGTTGTATAGTTTTTCAAAATCTGGAGAAGGTTGGATTAGACGTCAGAGCTGCAAAAAGTGGAGAATATGCCGGTATAAGCAGTTCTTATGTGATATATGTCAAAGTTAATATATCAAACATTATGCCACGTTATGCTAACTTACTCTTATTTTCTTTAACAAAGCTTTCACGCATTATTGAGACAGTTTTTAAAATTAAAATAGTTTTTATGTTCCGTTTCTCTATTTTGGGTAGGTATGTCATTTTATCAGACATATTTTGTATTCACTAAAAAGTGATTTTTTTTTGAATAAACAGGATATTTTTATATAGCAATAAAAACCGCTATCCCATATTAAACATTACATAGATGCTAAAATTATGTGTATTTATTTAATTTTTTTGTTGGTCTTTTTGGTTGAAAGAGGTTGGGTATGTCATTTTAGGACAGTCTCCCCTACAACTCGAAATAAGGTTAGAACCCCAATCCGTCAATTTTCAGATTAAACTGCCAATATGCTAGGATTGCCTAAACGCGATTACTGGGTGTTAACTGTTGCACATGAAAACGTGCCAATAATCTGGATTAGTCCTTAATTGTGATTCTCAACTGACGGTGAATATGGGCATTAGTAAGTCGGGCGTTAAGATTTCATGCGATCAGTTTTCTAAACACTTATATTTTGCTTTCTGCTAAACTAAAATTGTATTAGAAAATCCGAGGCTAGTCGTACGTACATACAAAGACGATTGAGTCCATATTTTGAATATTCTGATTTGAAAAATATAGCAGCATCACCCATTGTGGATCGGTAAAGCCTCATTTAAAATGGCAATAGTGAAATATCAAATTGCCGGTGGTTCTCATACACACTGTGATATTAATTATGTATATCCCTTTGAGACGTCTGCTTTAGAAATACGATCAGGATTCGTGAATGAAGTCTGGTGCTTCTCCTCTAATGTACTTATATTTGCAGGATCCAATTAGTCGGTCTTCGGTAGCATAACGTGAAACTCCAGACGACTGTACACAAAGCACCACATATAGGGTCTATTGGAAACATCCCCCACGGAAATTGAGATGGTTTCAAGGAGAGCATACCCTTTGAGCAACTTCACAAGCCTTTATGTGGATGAAGCCCTATTGTCTGTCCGAATCGAACCACAAGATGTTTTAGTTTTTGTTGTACGGCATTTCGGTCCGGCTTTTTCAAGTACAATGACAATGATTGACAGTATGTTTTTGTTTATCTGTCTCCCAAGTGACAGTTCACTCATTCTTTGTTTAACAAATTAAAACGTTCTACAACTACTCCTGTTCCAAAAGTGCAAAATTCTGAGTTATATACAAACATACGGCCAATTAATGTACTGCCAGATGCCGGGAAGCTCTTAGAAGGAATCATATATGAACAGGTCATTGAATATATTGAAGAAAATTAGATATTGACAAAATTTCAAGCAGGATTCAGAAAAAAGTATTCTACTGAAACGGTAATTCAAATGGTAGTAGAAGAATGGAGGCGAAATATAGATGAAAAAAAGTTTGCAGTTTGCAAGATTGTTCTTGGATTTCAAGTGAGCATTTGAGACTATCGAGAGATAGAGATATTGTCAGGGAGAACTGGTTAACGAAATTGCATTACTATGGATTTCAAGGTTCAGTATTCAACTTATTACAAAATTATTTAATCAATAGAAGTCAAAGAACTAAAATTGGCAATACATTATCAAGCATTGAAAACATTTCGGAAGGTGTGCCACAGGGTGGCAAGTTAGGTCCATTACTATTTATTTCATATATTTACGATATTCCTGATGCTTTACAACACTGCAAAATTCAACTATCTGCTGATGATACATTAATATATACAGGGTTTGTCCGGAAAGTAATAGGACTGAGCCGATTTAAAAAAAATATTGAACCAACCGTTACAATTCTTTAAAAACTTTCAAAATAGGCTCCTTCTGCGTCGATGCAGCGCTGCCAGCTCGATTTCCAAGCAGTGAAGGCGTCACGGAAGGCATTCTCCGGAATAGCCTTGAGAGCCGCGGTGCATGCTGCTTGGATCCCCTCTGTCGTCTCAAAATTCTTGCCTTTCATTGAGCCTTTTCAGGCGAGGAAACAAGGGGGCCACATCTGGGCAGTAGGGCGGCTGCGGGAGCGTTGGGATGCCGGCCTTGGTCAGGTAGCTGTTCACAAGAAAGGCGGTGTGAGCCGGGGCGTTGTCGTGGTGCAACTTCCAGTCAGCTGCGATGTCTTGTCGGACTCGACTGAAACTTCGTTTGAGTCTCCTGAGCACTTCCACGTAAAACTTGGCGTTGACGGTTTGTCCAGGAGGAACAAATTCATAGTGGACGATGCCTTTGATGTCAAAAAGGACAATGAGCATCGTTTTCTCTTTGGATTTGCTCATTCTTCCCCTTTTTGGGTGAGGAGACGCCATAGTGTGCCACTCGGAAGACTGCCTCTTTGTCTCGGGATCATACTCAAAGATCCACGACTCGTCACCTGTGATTACGTTATTCAAAAATTGGGGGTCACTTTCACACATGTTCAAATTTCCGTGGCACACTTCCACTCGCCGCAATTTCTGGTCGTGAGTGAGCACTTTTGAGACCATCTTTGCGCACACCTTGCACATGTTCAAATGCTGTGTCACAACGTCATGAACCACAGATTTTGGTAAATTTAACATCTGGGCAATTAAACGAATACTTAGTCGATGGTCTGAGTTCAAAACTTTGCGCACACGAGTCACATTATCGGTGTTTGTCGAAGTCGAAGGTCCACAAGCACGGTCTTCATCAGTAACCTCTTCCCGGCCCTCCAAAAAGGCCTGGTGCCACCGAAACACACCACTTCTTGCTAAAGCAACACCTGAGTAAGCCTGCTTGAACATATCAAACGTCCCTGTCGCAGATTTACCGAGTTTCACACAGAATTTAATCGCGTACCTCTGCTCTAACGAAAGCTGCATTTTCGGCTTGCACCACTCATAGAAACACGTCGCGCAAAAATGCCTGTCCTGACTCTCCAAGTACTCGGAGACAATTGACCAGCCGCTCATTCGTTAGCTAGAAACGCAGTCTACCGAATCCGGTCAGTGCGTGCACGCTCCGAAGTACAGTCATGGCGGAAGAAAATGAGTCCTATTACTTTCCGGACAAACCCTGTATATATCAAATAAAGGCATTTAAACTGTAATAGAGCTGTTAAATAATGATATGAAAAACGTAATAATTTGGTTAAATTTGAATAAACTTAGACTAAACACAAAAAAAACAAAATATTTGCTAATAGGGAAATCTTTAGATCAAAATATACTAAGTGACGTATAAATCCGAACACCCAGTTTAAATGGTTTTATTTTAATAAAATTTTGTATAAGTACTTAATGAAGCATAATAAATAAATGATAAAAATTTCAAAATGATTGCACTGCTTTAACCCTTAACCACAGACATCCGGTCAAAATGCAAATTTGAACTGCTGAAATTCATCGCATCCCCACCACTATCGCTTACGAGCTTCTACATACCTCCCTAACACTTAATTTGATGCTATTAGCCGGTGGATGGAGACTGTATTACTTGAAGCAAGCGAAATATCGTAGTTCAAAGTTCGCAACCGGTAAAAAATACCGGAGGTCTGTATAAACGTAATAATTTGGATATGTTGAATTATTATTTTTCTGATGTTTTTAGCCTTATAAATTGAGTATGGCCTCTAATCCTGGGCCCTCAAAGAGAGTAAAATATGGAGATGCTGATTTTGAAGCTACTTTACTGAAATGGGCAGAGGAAGTCGATTCTGGTGGAAGCGATATCGAATCAGATGGCGACTATATACTATCGGATCATGACACTGAGTCGGAGGTTGAATTCGACGAAGAGGACAACGAAAATCTAGGTGAAATCAGTCATACCGAGATAATCCAGAAATAAACCGCTATCATTTTGGAAAACAGTTAGCAATGCTTTTGGTAACTCCACATATGCAACGCCGATATCAAAATGTGCGTATCGGTCGTGAAATGAAAATATGTATAAGACGCATACTACAACTGGAACAAGAAGAACATCCTATGGAAGGTGATAAACTGAATACAAGAACAACTTGTAGACGTTGTCCCTCGAAGAAGGAGAGAAAAACATTCCATTTTGTATAAGGTGTAAATCTCCAATATGCATGGAATGTACTAGGAGAATTTGCAAAGAATGTTCCATCTAAATATGCTAATAGTTTACCCTTAGCAGATATTTTTATATAGAATGTTTTTAGCTTTGCTTTGATGTCATTTTATTCAGAATAGTTTATTTAAATTATTTATGTGCGAAAAAGTGTTGTATACGTATTTATTTTATTTTTATTTATGACTCTGTTACACTTGAACAAAAATATAGCAATAAAATATTTTTTTCCATACTCTACTCTTATTTCATTCAAATATAGTTTAAACTTCATCAAATGCTAATTAGAAAGATCTAAGAGTTAATCCGCATGCTGTAGATTTTGTTGTTCATGTATACTCAAAAATAGACAACCGGTCAAAATGACCGGTAGTCTGTGGTTAAGCCCTACAAACGTGACCTCTGTAGCTAAGGGTTAAAGCCCTTTGACCTTTAATAATGTGTGGATGCACCCTGATGTGCTACGCATTCTCCAACGCGCCTAGGCATGCTTCTGATCAGGCGGTCAATGTCCTCCTGTGGTATCTCATTCCAGGCAACCACCAACCCCTCTCGAAGTGCTTCTAGAGTCTGAGGAGGACGTTGCAAATTGAGCAATCTCCTACCCATCATATCCCACACGTGCTCAATTGGGGATAAGTCGGAAGGATCTTGGTGGCCATGGTAACAATGTGACATCATTATGTTGAAAGAAGTCTATTGTGACTCTTGCAACACGTGGTCGGGCACTATCTTGTTGGAAAGTTGGATCTGCCAGGGTGTCAAGATAGGGTAAAAGATGGAGTTCTAGAACTTCGTGTATATAACGCTGCGCGTTCATGTTACCTCTGGTGAAGATTAAAGGTGACCTGGAACCATAAGCTATAGCACCCCAAACCATAACTCCAACAGTGTGATGAACATGTCTTTCAACAAAAAACTGTGGATTCCTCCTTTCACAACCTCGCCTTCTAACCCTGGCACGACCATCGTGCATGCCTAAACAAAATCGAGACTCGTCACTAAAGACAATATGTTCCATTCCTGAATCCCAGAGTGACCGTTGTCTGCACCACTCAAGGCGATTACGTCGGTGTTCTCTAGTTAAAGGGAGGACCCAGTGTGGCCGCTATGAAGACAAGCCAAAACTTCTCATTCGTCGGTAAACACTTCGCATGCCAATAGGTCTTCCGTGTTCTGCAAACCATTCATTTGCAATGGACCTGGTAGTGGAGAAACGGTCCCTTAAGGCCAATAATCTTAGGCGGCGATCTTCACGGTCTGTTGTTCTACGGCGGCTTCCAGTGCCCCTTGCTCTTTGCGTACGGCCTTCTCGAAGCCATGCCTGACAACACCTAACCACAGTGTCTACACTTCTTTGCACTCTAACTGCAATTGCCCGAAAAGAAAGTCCAGCTTCCCGAAGTCCCACTATACGGCCCCTATCAAACTCACTAAGTTGACGAAATCGTACAGGTCTCCGTACTCTAGGCATCGTAACCGATCGTAAAGGATGTCAAGAACCAAAATCCGCCAACGTTGATTCTTTACTGCGGCTGAAATATTCATTTTTAGAGCGTTAGTGAATTAGAAAAAAGCAGTATAAAAACCGGAATGTCCAACTGATAAGGCTGAAAATTTTTGTCACTTGTTATTTACAGTAAGATAAATACATTCACCAACCTTTATTAAAATAAAACCATTTAAACTGGGTGTTCGGATTTATATGTCCCTTAGTATACATTAATCTTACAGTTAATAATGAAAAAATGGTGTCAATCGAACCATTTAAATATTTGGGCATATATCTAGACAGTAAATTAAAATTTGACGGGCACTATGGATATATTATTTCAAAAATATCCAAGAAAATAAATTACTTTTATAGAATTTTGCATAGCCTAAGCGTTTATTCTAAAAAAATTGTGCACTAGACTATCATTCATCTGCATTTGTTATATTGTTCGACTATTTTGTTCACTACAAATGAAACTGTATTTTCAAAATTACAAATATTACAAAATAAAGCTATGAGAATCAACTTAAATAAAAATAAATATACTAGAATAAATTTTATGCTGAAAGAACTACAACAAAAATTTCATAGCCTACTTGGTTTTCATTTTCATATTCAAGTTAAAAAATCATCTTCTACCAAATCACTGAGAAAATTTTATTGTATTGAACAATGAGTGCCACAATTATTTTACTAGAGGAAGTATAGACTTTCATTTACAAAACTGCAGTAGCAATATAACGAGCTAGTCAGTATTTCAAAAGGGATTGTACGAATTTAATAAATTAGGTAATGATATCAAGGTGTGGGTCAGTTTCAAAATGTTCAAAGGGAAATTGGAAGAATATCTCATACCACCACGAAAACTTAACAGAAAAACCTGACCATTTTATCATTTGCTGTTCCTGGCAAGATAAATCGATATTTTAAAAAATTCTTGAATTCTAATAAACATACGTAAGTGTCACTCAGTACATAAAATCAAACTAATATTGATAACAATGCATCATTTCCGATACGATATCAAAAAGAAAATAATGGAAGGTCATGGAAACAAAACAGTGTTTACAATTTGACGTTTTGATTTAAGAATCAATTCTGTGAACCAATTTGCTTTAAAATGTCGCACAGTAAAGCGAGAAACGGTGCAGAATTTCAGTCATAAAATTGTTTCATCAAGGAAAGAATTTTCGGGATATTGCTAAACAAGTAAATGTCGCATATTGCTAAACAAATAAATGTCGCAGCCTCTGGCGGCACATATCGTAAAAAAGTATGGAGACACAGATTCAACTCTAGTTTGTTGGCCACGTAAGATCAGTCTTAGAATGCAAAGATCTCTTGTCCGTATTTGTAAAGCTGTTCGTCGAGGTGCTGGAAGTGACATAATAGCAAAATAGAATGAAGAGCGGGAAATGTTCCACGAGAAACCGTCGGTGGATTCATGTCATACATTTTTATGAGGCACGTAGGCTGTATTTGAATAACACATGGCATATTTAGTACAATATTCGCTTTAGTTAAAAGAACAGCCTTTGCTTACGGAAATACAAAAGAAAAAGCAATTAGCGTGAGCTAAGGAAAGGCAATGTGGGCTTATTAAGACTGTAAAATCATTTCTAGCGATGAATCGAAGTTTGATGTTTGTATGGGTGACCCCCAGTCCCGGGTGATAAGAAACAAAGATTAAGCGTTTCTTAAAGTCAGTTGTGGAGAAACCTACGTTATGTCACAACAAACGTACATAATATATTCAAGATACGTAATACCCGTGCCGCTATGGGTATGTTTTTCTCTTTGTAACTTACTTTCAACGACGACTCACGCTTTGGGTCTTAATTTCATTTTTTGGCCCACAAATGACCGCTATAGATCCTAGATACATAAATAACAAAATTACCTTTCATTTTTGCGAGACTCGACGTACAGTTTTATCGGACATTCAGATTGCTGACGCTGATATTTGGTTATTCAGCGTGTCAAAAATCAGCTACGTTGCATTTGGCAGGATTTCCGTCACTGTCACTGTGACACATGTAAACGGTGATCAGATCACGCAATAAAATAACGTGTGTGGCGTTTCTTGGGTATATTTTTCTATATAAATCGTCAAAGATAACTTTATTTAGTGTACGTAATATAATTACCGTAGGAAGGCAGATTTCTTAGGAAGCACAACCATACATTTTTATATTCACTGAGAAAGATTCCTGAAGGCACCGATGGTAGTTTGTATAGTCACCGTTCTTGACGGTTACTTCATCAACGCTATATGAAATGAGCAAACAGATCGAGTCTCCGTACCATGGTCGGATCTTAATCTTCAGCGCATCGGCTACTGTCCCCAGTACGCATAAAGTGGGTAACAGGGTATACTTTATCTGAAGTCACTTGAAACACTGTGAAATACCGCGTGCGTTTTATATATCTATATTTAACACGCTCTGTTGCTGCAAAAATCGCCAAATTTCGCAGCAAATATCCCCCGTATAAGATCAAAGGCAGTTTCACCGGTCAACGTGGAGTAAAGCACGCCTATGCGTGGACATAGCCAATGAGAAAGCGTGTATTTCAAAGCTCCGAACAAGTGCAGGTGGCTACTGAAAATTGAAACAGTTTAGCCAGTGCCGTGTAGCGGTGAATAAACGTGTTTCCTTTAGTCTGTCCGTGTTTTTTCATAGATTCTATTAGTTTGTGTGTTTTTGACTTTTGAATACTCAGTTTACTTGTTGACTTAATTGTTGTGTTGATTGTTCTTATGTGTCCTAAATATGGCTCTTTGGAGACCTTGGGAAAATGCTCCAAGCCACGAGGAGATGGTTGATGAATCTGTGCAGGCAGAATTATTTCATAAAGGTTTAGAGGAACAGACCCAAAGAGTAATCCTAAATATGTATGATTGTCTGAAAAACGAAAATCCAGATTCCTCGCAAAATCAAATTTTAAACAGAATTTGTATCCTGACAAATATCAGTCGGTCTACCATTTATCGGGTTATAAAAAGGGGAGATGTAGTCAACCATTCCTTCCACAGAAAGCGCATAGGGCAAAAATTAAAAAGAATAGACGTGGGTCTTCAGGAAGATATTCGTCGTATAATATACGGATTTTATAAAGAAAATTTGGTGCCCACGTTGGAAATGATACGGGATAAATTAAAAGGTTATCCTGAAGATTTTTATAATTACAAATGCACTGTATTGTAAAACTGTGTGCTTTTCAATACAAAAAGTTAGATAAAAGAATGGTGATTATGGAGTCGTCTTGAATCGTTGAATTGCGACAAGAATTTTTGCACAAAGTTAAAATCTATAGAGAGCAGAAAAGAAATCTGATTTACCTGGATGAAACGTGGTATGATACCCATGATGTTGTGCAGTACGGCTGGGTTGACGACAGCAACAAGTGCATTTTAAATGCACCATGCAACCGTGGAAAACGAATCATTATTCTCCATGCTGGCAGTGAAAATGGATTTATACCTAATGCCTTGCTATTATCTGCCAAAAATATCAAAGAATCATGTGCCGACTATCATGAGGACATGACCTCCGACTTATTTGAAAACTGGATAGAGCAGCAGTTAATACCAAACATTTCCCCAAATTCAGTGATTATTATGGACAATGCGCCATACCATTCCCGA